GAGGGCACATTCTGCATGGAGCACTGGGTGTTATGCACAAACAATGAATCATGGAACACTTCATCTAAAACTAATGATGTAATGTACGGAGATTAACATAAGAATTAAAAAAATAAAAATATACAGGGAAAAAACAAAAACAAAAAAAACACAAGTTCCCTTCAGGTTTTCCTAAAAAGAGGCATAAGTAGAAACAATCACAGCTCATATGTGCACATTCTAAGAACAAATGCAGTAATATCCTTGTCCTTGAACACCAGAAAAGAGGCCCTGGCCATCCATCAGGAAAGTACTTACTGAAGCCAAATTGGGAGCTTAAGAAAAGAACAAAGCCATAAATCGCTCTTTCTGGCAATGGCGACGGTGAATTTTCCACCATTTTCCCTGTGGCTTTAGACAATCTGTGGGAAAGAAACACAATCATCGTCAGTGATTTACTCCCCTCATCACTGGTCTGTTGTAGCCTCATCGCTTTGCTATGGGCACAGCCTTTGCAGTTTTTTTCCTAGCCTAAACCAATGCACACCGCCAGCCTGCGCACACACCTCCAACACACACCGCTTGCACGCACGCACGAGCCCCAGACCTCGCGTGCGCGCGCACACAAGCGCACACGCCAAAGCGCGCGCACCCTGCAGCGGAAGGGTGGGGAGAGCAGGGAAAGTACGGACGCCGCTCCCAGCCTGCAGGATTCGCCTCCCTGCGGAAACGGCTTGGCAGGGCCGGGCTCGGGGAACGCGCGCCTCCCCAGGTCTGGGCCACGGCGCCCGGGACCGGGCCCTGCCCTCTCGCGGGAGCTTGTTTCCTATTCAAGGGTTGGCGGGTGGGGGAGGCCCTTGACCTTGGGTCCTCGAAGCGCCCACTCAGGCCCCTCCCGACAGCTCGGCCACTTCAGCGCCAGATACCCCGCGCAAGCCCCTTCCGGAAAGCCTCCGCGGGGGCGAGAAAGGGAAAAACTAAAGGAAAGGCCGGGTCGCTAAGGCGCCCCCCCACCCCTCCCGCCCAGGCGCAGGCGCACCGCGACCCTTGCCGGCCCGGAGCGCGCGAGCGCCGGGGACGGCCGGATCGCTCTGCTCGCCGCCGCGGAAGAGGGCGGGGTTGCACGACTGCGCCTGTGCGTTGCCCACGTGACGCGCTTGTCGCCTGCGCCACCGCCCGCTCCCGCCCGCCCGCTGGC